AAAACCATAGGAGGGTTAAAGCTTGTTTTGCAGAGATGAAGGGACCACTTGAGAGAAGTGTTAGAAACTAACAACTGCTCACAGCCTTTCTTGTGCTTGAAACTAGAAAGCCCATTTCACAATTGTTAGGATTTATCTGTGTTTTTTGTGGGATTTGGGGGTGTAATGGTTGGTTTAAGAGACAAGTAAAATTGTACTTACTTAGGCAAGAGAGGCAGAATAGTCCACACACCACTGATCTCATACTGTTGATGCAGTAAAATAACACGAGGGTTGCCCTGATTCCAAGCAAGAAATAGGAAACGGAAAAAGGTGACAGCTTCTAGATACTGGAATGTCTGAGCAAGCAAACTGTTTCCAATGGATAATTGTAAGCTGAGATGGCAAGTGGCTTAATTGAAACGATGAATTTAATGACTAATTAATGTCTGCCAGGCATAGTTTTAAACTACTGTTCAATGCAGACCATTCTACCAAACTGTACTGAGCTTTTCTTCTGCAGCCAAGTACAGTCACTTACAATAACTTGCACAATCTGGGACTTTACTTCCCCTTGGAAAAGAAATCCAGCAGGGATGTGGATCATAGACACAATGACCAATCGATGGCTGGGCATTTGCAAAATTGTCCATTGGGCTGTGACACTGAGTGTGCAAAGTTCCAACAGGATTGTCCCATGGTGCAAATCCACCAATGGTGTCAGACATCTTCCTCAAGCCAAATAACCCCCAAAGACACTGTTGGAAAAATTAGAGACAAGTGGCCAAGACTTACCAAGTTTAAGATACGATACTGCTGTTCTATGTCGGTTTTGACCTGTTTAGCCCACTGATTATGCGGGCTCTCTTGCTGGCTCCGAATGATAAAAACAAGATCTTCACCTGTGGTAGCATGATGTCCCTGAAAAGTACATGTAAACATTAGTAAACTTGGAACAAGTACACTACAAACGAATGCAGTTAGAACTACTAACATTGCAATAAATATGATTGAACAACAGTGCGCAGAGTATTCTCAGACGGCTGAGGGGCATGAAGGATAGGGTAATTGTGGGCGGAGCTGTACCACTGCATTTTGGCAATATGGCTGTGGAGAGTGTAAATGCAATGCTCTACTTTACTCCAAGTTTATTCAACACAGGCAAAAAGTTCCACAATTTAGGCTTATTCATACAAACCGGTAATGCCAAGTCCATGCAAGTTGGGGCGAAAATATAGCACCGTTAATGACCATCATGACCATAGTTGGGATTGATGCAATAGTTGGACTCGGAGCATGACAACTCTTCTGCACTGGGCATGCTGGGCACTGCTTGCATGGCCCATAGAGCAAGAGTGCATGGCCTATTGTACTGGCTGGGACGAGTGGGAGCAAGGAAAGCATTTAGCCTTCGCATAATTTTCAACCGTAAGCTTTTTCAATTCTGCAGCGCAGAGTTGAATGCCACCAACAATTTCCCAAACCAATCATGTCACCGGCTTAATAAACAGTGACTGAATGCACCTCCTGTTTAATCGATCATGAATAGGCCTACCTAATTACATGTTCGCATCGAGCGATAGTACAAATCCATCGATCGCGCTGAACAACTAACCTCGAATTCCGGTTCAGCAACAGTTAAATCGCGAGGAAAATATGGATCAAAAGTTGCAGCAAAAACACCTTCAGCGATGAAAAATAAGAAGATACGTGAGCATTTAAAATAACAGTCATAACATCAACATTTGTGTCTCTTAGATTTACTGAATATAGGGGTTAATAGCAATTTCTTTCCTAATTTCTTACCCGCAATCAGAAAGACGAACGGGACAATGTAGGCGGCCATGTTTTTGTTCGTCCTGATGGGTTTTCGCGCAGTGTTCAACGAGGATTTTCATTGGGTTAAAAGGAACAACTGGTTCCCGCTCGACCAATAGAGATGCGCTTTACGTCGCCGTCACTTGGTTGGCAGGTGTAAACAACATGGCGGGTGCGAGATCGGCCCATCCTCGCTGGTTGCTGGATTGTAAAGGTGAAATTGTACAGACAGATGTGAGTATATTTATAATCTATCACACATTTAAATGAGAAGCAACCTGATGTGTTAATGTGCTCAAATTTATGTAAACAACAACTGGGGCTTGGACTTATTTTTCTTTTATCAATCAATTTCTAGGCCTACATGGGGTAGGGCTAGCCACCCTAGTGTGACACGGACTCTCACTCCCGATCCGGGAGTGAGAGTCCGTGCCACACTAGTGGGGCTAGGGGTTGGGCCTACATGACAAAGTTCACAAACAAAATGACAGCTCATTTATCAAATCCAACCACCTAGTCCCGAGATCAATGGAGACAAGCCTATTTTCATCTAAGCGTAAGGCCCTAACCCTCTGTCTAGCCTACTTGCCACGGCAATTGCTTTAACAGAAATAATAAAGAAAGAAACTGTGATCTGTTCTGTTTATGTCTTTTTTTCATTAATGTTTACTGTTTGGTGTCTTTTAACATTTATGTCATTATTACTACCTTGTAAACCAGACATTTTTACAAATAACAGTAGAAGCACACATTTATTTGGGGACAAAACCAGTCCCCTGAAAGAGAGAATGTCTCCTTAAAAGTTAACATTTTTTCCCAAGTGAGCTTAGGTCAAAAATATCCACTGCTATTATCGATTCTTTCTCCCATATTTTCTTTTCATATTTAGTTATTTAAGTTGTTTTTATGAACTTTGTGCCATGTCACTGATTAACTATGTCATAAAGAATTGATTTTCAGAAAAATTGTTCTGATATGTCTTTTTCCCACCCTTTATGAGTTATTGTAGACTCCTGCTTGTAATCCTAGAATTAAACGGTAGAATTTTTTAACGGCAGCCTCGGGTGTTTTCTCCTGCTTAATCCAATTAAGGCATTAAAAGCATCCTCAGAGCAATGGTAGGATCACCAAGCCCACTTGAAAAAACTTGTCCCTGTTTACGTGTAGAGGGACATTCTCTTTTTAGGGACTGATTTTGTCCTTGAATAAAGGGACTTCCCCAGATGCAAGAACACTCTCTGAGTTGTGATATGCGCCTCTACTGAATAATAATAAACCATCATGAATAAACTCAGAGGTACTGGACCTGAAAAAAGGAACGTAAAATTGCACAACATCTGCACAAAATCAGATGAAAACACCACCTGGCCATTTTGTTTGCATCATTGTCCAATCAGATCACATCATTTTAGTCACGTGACCTCTTGTTTGCCAAGCACAAAAAAATTGACTGCTACCAAAGATTCCTCATAAATGCTCATGGCACCTGTAACTTGCCATCCTGAAGATACCTGGAAAAGGTTACAGAAGCAAAAGGCTTCCCATATGTCAATAGTCATTATATGATATAATGATAGTGACCACACATGTGTATCATACTTTTGACAACTGTTGTGATTCATTGCTTAGGAGTGGAAGATCTTGACCCAGGAGCTCAACCAGGCTGTCCAGCAGCAACTAAATGAAAGCCATGTGTCAAAGTTCACGGACCTGTCCGATCCAGAGAAGCAACTGTTTCTAGAGAGGGCTGCCAAGGCCATACAAGAAGGTCAGCGGAGGACGGAGGGGAACCTCCCAGAAAAGTGTCTATAATGACACAACCTGTTGCTGAATGCTTTTTGAAAGCACGTCTGTAGAAATTACAACCAAACAGTGTTGGAGGTCTCGAGACCTGGTCTTGGTCTTGGTCTCGGCCTACAAGAGTCTTGGTCTCGGGAGGGTTGGTCTCGGTCTCGGAAGGGCTGGTCTCGGTCTTGGTCTCGGTCTCGGATGCCTTGGTCTCAGTCTCGGTCTCGGACATAAAGTTCTCGACTACAACACTGCAACCAAATGTGGTCTTGCTGTTGTTACCTTACCCCATCATCATGTTAAACAAAGTCATGAAGTTGCAATGCACCACCGATGGATGCTCATCACAGAAACCTGTTGGGGATTTACACGTCCTCTGGCATGAACTCGTTAAGACCGACACAAAAGCAAGGAGAGCTCAGACTTCAGAATTTGTTTCATTTGGTTCCATGCTTTTTTATACCTAGAGTTTACAGCACTGAGCTTCAAGTTATTTAATTTTTTTTTCAGGTGATGCCTTTCAGAGCTTTAACCAGGCAGCATCCAAGACACTTGACAAGCATCTCAGTAACCATGCCAACCAGCAGCTGCTCAACTCATCGCCCTTGGAGAGCAAGTCGGAGCTAGTCCTGGAGCAGGCTCGTGAGGGTGCCCTGGGGCTGCTCAAGAGCTGGCCAGGGAACAAGGCCAAGTTTCGACGGTTCTTCAACCAGGCATTGCCGGACCGCCTCCGGCAGATCGCTTGGCGGCTCTACCTCAGAAGTCCAAAGGGTGAGGGTCAAAAGCTGTTCAGCTAACTCTAGCAAAATGAGGATTAAGGTGGTTTGTTGTGTTGAATTGCAGTTATTTGATCCAGCGACAATCTCTCAGGGGGTGTTTCTTGTTGCAAATCTGCATTGTATTTATGTGGGTACTGGATACATGATGTCAATAGCGTTTGATTATCGCTCCGATATCCCTTTTTAAAACCAGTGAGGGTAACTTTTTGCACAGTGTAAAATCATCACGTAAATTTTTGCCATTTGGGGGAGTGGTTCTGTCAAAAGGAGGATCCAGATGGCTACAATGTAAGCCACACATACTCTTGAAAAAAAGACAACAGTCAACCTTTTGATAGTTGGGCAATACTGCCACCAGAATAAGGGCTCTGATGGTTAATCACAGCTCAAGCTCAAGTTTGCTAATTGAAGGAAAGAGCAATATGATTGTAACATATTGGAGCTGCTCTATCAAAATGAAGAACAAGATATACTCATTAACAGTTTGACTTACATATATAACCCTTGAATTGAAGAAAAGAGCGGCGAGATTTTTGTGCAGTACCCACATTGCCAAAACTGCCTCGAGTTGCCCAGAAAACCATTCAGATTTAAACATTCATTTGTAAGGCAACTCAGGAATAGGAGAGGTATAAACTTTTTTATTTAATCCTCTTTCCACGCCATAGTGAGATCGTTGTATTTGGAGCAACTCAAGGCTGACCCCAGCAGCGTGATGTCCATTCTTGACCTGGAGGTCGTCCAGACCTGCGAAGCTCTCCTTACGCGGGAACCAACTTTCCAGGATCTCTCAAATAACACAGGTAAGGATACGGCTGTGCATTGGGGGGGGGGTAATGCATCCAATGTGAGAGAGTAGGTATCATCATATTCAACTTCAGTTTAACTTGAGCTGAATACAAGCGCTATACAAAAAAGTTGAAAAGAATTCCATACGTGGACATCACCTGACACCCTGTGTACAAACCCTATGAGACTGGTCTGAAAAATTCTTAGTGCTTTTTAATTAAATGCTTCAATATTGACCCACTAAATATGACTTTTTCAAGGCACGTTATCGCTTTTTGATGACTAATAAACAACTTCAGGGGATAATAAGTGATGTCCATATGTGGAACTCTTTCCAAATAGTGTACCAACAAGAGTTTGTCCAAGAGGCAGTTTGCACACATTCATTCAGTTACCCATCTGATAGGCCAATATGCACTTTCCTACAAAGCCAGTGGGGGCCCACAGTCCATTGGATGCCAAAGCAAAGCGCACATGTAAACAATGTCACTTGGAGTTCTGAAGTCAGCAATTCAAACTTTCGCATACGTGTGTAAAGAGTACACAGACGTCTAGACACAGAAGTGTTTGGTGGTGAGTATTGATTTCTGTCCTTGATTTGCCATGAAAAACTTGGCTTCTGTGTTCAAGCCTCTTAACCCTCCTTTAGTTTTACAGCACAAATATGCACAAATGCCCACAGTCACTGGTGAGCCCGTAGTTTCTATATGGAACTCAAACATGCACAGGTTCAGTGTGTACACAGTAGGTTGTCAGCACAAAATGACCCAGGGTCTTTTGTGCAGTCCTCTTCACTGCATTCGGTTTACTGC